TTAGGAGACATATGGCTCAGAGATCCTCCCTCATTATTCTCTGCTGACCCACATAGAGATTGCTGGCGTCACAGCTTGTGCTGCCTCTGCTCGTACGATCCTGTGGCACAGGAGTCTTTTAAACAGAAGGGGAGTCGCGCAATTAATCACAGACGGCAGCGCTCCCCTCTGTGTAGCAACTGGAGGTCAGTCCTCCGCTGGGGCTCCCCGCACACCGGCTGGGTGGACGGGGACAGTAGGACACAAGCTGGGGCTGTAGACACGATGTTAGATTGCACAATGAGACACTTCGGCACACCTCACGTCCTTGTCACATCCAGATGTTGAGAAGTACTCTAATTACTGTGTTTTTTCCACCCTCCAGCTGGGCTGCTTTCCTCAAGACCTGGCTGCCCTTCGTCATGCTCAGCGGAGTCCTCGCCACCTTCATCCTCACGTTTAACCTACAGTAGTGCGGCGAGCAGTAGAACGAGCTGCCTCAGGCTTTTTGGTTATACTTTATACGCAGTCGTTGATGTGAGTGGTGCGTTCTGATGGAACATTTGTTTGTGCACAAACTGAGTGACTTCCTCTTCATCTGCTGTGATGCATTTTCTAAGAGTATTAAAGGGCAAAGCTAACTGTTTTGTTTTTGTGGGGGTGGGGGCAGTTGAAAAGAACAATTTGTCCTTCAATTATTGATATTTTGATTATTTCTCATTGTGTATTCTGCTAGCAAGGCAAGCTACAGTGTCTGCATTTGTGTTTTTGCTTTATTGCCCCTCGTTAATATTATCATGAAGGAGACGACGTCCAGATTAGACCCCAGTAGAGTAATGCATTTCAGTTGCAGAGATGTATTTTTCATGAACAGCAGTGATGAATGTGTTTCCAGGCGGGCTAATATATATTTCAGTGACGAATCCATAGAAAACAGATTGCAAAATCTTCAAGCTGGAAGTATTCATCAATTATTTGTCTTAGAAATATGAGCAGCTAGACCAAAGATAGAATGATGGAAACCCGCATGTTAATAATTAGGGTATTGCGCTCCCTCGGATACATTTTCCTCCTTAATAAGACGCTTCTATGTTAAGTGACTTCTTTTTTGTTTGTTTCGGCTTTTTCGCAGTAAGATTTGTATGATTTCCTTTTGTGCATCTTCACACTTGATCCTGCCAAGTTATATGAGCAATATTTGATCACTTGTTTATGCATTATGTTATTTTATTGGATGTTTTTGGTACTTGAATAAGTATTATTTATTATTGTATGTCTGTAACCATTTAATATTTCCATTTTTGTACCTGCATTTCGGATTTGCTGTGTGCAGAGCTCTTTTGTTGTCTCCCCTGGCAGACTGGGATAAAGGTGACCGGTTGTGGGTCGTCCTCTGTACCTTTAAGGGGACTGCCTTTTCATCCAGCAGACTCTGTGTGATATGAACTACCATCACTTTACGGGAACCTTTATTCCCACAGTGCAGCAGACGACGACTGAGCAAGCAGTCTTTGCCACCTCTGCAGTGTCCGATCACTTTTAGAGAACAAAGGACAACAGCTAAAGTTTGATTTATGAATACACGTCTGTAGTTTAAACTTTTTCAGCCGTTATTTAGAGATGTGTTTTTCTGCTGTTCTTGTGTTTTTGGGGATTCTTTTCTGCGCTCTGTGCCGCTGCTTGGAGTGTCCTTTTGGCTGCGAGTGTTTCGCTGTGATCCGCACGGTAAAATGTGTTTCTAAAGATCTGCTCACAGCACCAGAAAATATTCCAGGATATGCCAGGACCGTCATTATCACAGGGAATAATATACACCAAATTGGACCCAGTTCGTTTACGAAGCTGGCGAACGTCACTAACATCATTTTAACCAATAACAGGTGAGAATGTCACTGTTTTTTATTTGTTTCTTTTGCAGTTTCAACCATGTATGTATTAAGCCGTATTTGAATAGTTTATTTCTTTATGTTTACACAATAAATAAATAAATAAATAACTAAAGATCTGTTTCTGTGAGTTTTTCTTTTTTTAACCTTGATAGTACAGTACAGTTTCTTGTTTCCAAGCAGGAGGTTATAATCAGATGTCTAAAACCTGATGTTAAAGTGTTAGTCGTCTCCTCAGGTTAACAGAGATGGCGTCCCACACCTTCTCCTCCCTGGTCAACCTGCGCTTCCTGGACCTCAGTGGAAACCAGCTGGCACTCATCCATCCAGAGGCTCTCAGCATACCTGGTAGTCCCCTTCAGGAGCTCAACCTGAGCCAGTCACTCTACAACTTTACTGCCCTTACAGACCTGACCACAGCTCTGCGCTGGGGGGGCCTCGCGGGGCTCCTCCGCCTCGACCTCTCGGGGAACAAGCTTGCGCTGCTTCCCCCGGGCATGTTCTCTCACCTTCCCAATCTGCAGCAGCTTTTCCTCACCAACAACTCTTTGGTGGCAGTCTACAGTGGGACCTTCTCTGGCATGAATTACCTGGAGACGCTCGACCTGACGCACAACACCTTCAGCACATTCGGAACCGATGCTCTGCTGGAGTTGGACAAGCTCGGGGACATCAGAATCCTGCTCGGTAACAACCCCTACACCTGCTCCTGCGAGATCAATGAGTTCGTCGCGTGGCTGAATAAATCGAGAGCTAAGGTTGATGTGGATGCTGTGAGATGTGCCTCACCTGGCGCGTTAACTGACGCCCGCCTAAGAGGGCTCAGCATCCAGGATATCGGGTGTGTTGTTCCAGTCCTGGCAGAGGTCACTGATCTCACCCTGCAGACCTCTTATGTCTTCCTGGGACTGGTTCTGGGGCTTGTTGGCATGGTTTTTCTCTTTGTGCTCTACCTGAATCGCAAAGGTATGAAGAAGTGGATCAATGAAATGAGAGACGCTTGTCGGGATGTCCTGGAGGGCTATCACTACCGGTACGAGATTGACTCGGACCCTCGGCTGGGGCACATTTCTGCAGACAGCAGAAGGGCACAAAGGCAGTTAGGAATATCTCTGTCCCAGCAGCTGCCAAGTGACACCTCTGTTGCCCCCACAAAAACACAAGTCAAACAGCTGACAACCTCCCCACCTCAAAACTTATGATAAACTAACTGATGCTTTGACATATTATGGTGTAGCTGTAAATAGTTTTAGGAGGAAATTTACAATTTTGTCTCGAACATTCTGTACATATCGGAGTTATAACCTAGAAACCTAAAAAAAAAGTGCCTTTGTGTTGTAGATGCTCTAAATCCTTGTATTTGTAAGTTAGTAAGTGTGTGTTTTTCTTCTAGATTTTTATAAGGACCTTACACATAGGCTACTTTGGAAATGGATGTCAGCTTTTTCAGTGTGCTTTCTTTACTTTTATATTAGCTGAAATAGATTTCCGGTAAGCAGAAGATAAAGAAAAGCATAAATAACATAAATTATAGATGACCAGTGAATGGTAGGGTAGGTCTATTCTACTGTGTTCTTCAGTAAAAAAAGCAAAAACCTTAAAATTACTCAGCCCTATATCTTTATAGGAGTGGTAATAATGCGATTTGTATTATTTGAATGAATATGTCTTGGTATGATATAAAAACCTGTGTTTACATTAATTAGAAATAAAAAGAAATGATGTAATTAATTTCTTGTGCCGTTTTATTGTAAGGGTAGTGAGGAAGGCACTGCTACACAGGCTCATGTTTATCTCCACGTGAGATTGCTATACTATTTCAATTCAATGAGTGGGTGATTAAGTGTTTCTATACAAGGAAAAAGTAGGGCAGAATGAATGATATCACCGGGAAACACACCTGCTGGCTCTGCAGCTGTGCACCTCTGTGTCCCTGCCAGAGCTATCTACCTATTGTATGTGCACGTTAAAGAGGATTTATATAGAGAAATGAGAAAAGTGCACTGCTGCAATTTAAAACACAAAAATTCTCTGCTATCCTGCATCACATGGCTGTTTATCAGGGGTGTCAAGCACGCAGCCTAAAGGGCAGAACTGGCCACCAAGGGTCCACCGGACAGCTTTGGAAAGCTGTCCGGTGAAAGCTGCAAAGACGCTCTCATTTGATTTATCCTTAAGAAAGGTCTGAATCATCTGCACTTTTACGGCCTTCTAGCCAACAAACACGTTGCCTACAATCTGCCCTACAACACCAAATAAAGAAAGTGATAGAAACACCGTCAAAAGATAGAAAATGATTTCTTCCCCCCCCCATAACATTTCTACTTCATTAAATATAAGAAATGTATCTGTTTTCATTGTAGAAACCACTCGTGAAGTTTTGCTGGGACTTTCTCTTATTTATTTCTGCAAAATTCCCCCTGAATCTGCCTTAAGGCATTGTAAACCTACACAGGTGTTTATGCTTTTATGTTTAGTCTTAAGCACATTCAGTTTGCGTAAAGCAGCATATATTAAATAATTAAACTTGCCATTAAAATCCTTTTATTTTTATTGTTTTAATTTTGTTCCCATATTCCTTTCTCCATTATACTTTTTATGGAGGCTAATGAAATATTCTTCATCAAGCGTCACTCGCTTTTTCTACTCACTATGTGTTTATACACCACTCTGCATTTAATCATTAGTTATTATGAATCTTTGGCTCTCCTCCACGGTGTGTCTGTTATCCTGTCTTCCTTCCCTCATCCCCAATCTGGCCACCGTCCCTGAGCCTCATTCTGCCAGACGTTTCGTCCTGTTAAAAGGGAGTTTTTCCTTTCCACTTTCACCAAGTGCTTCCTCATACGGGAGTTTTCTGTCTATTATCATTATTGTCTAGTATTTACTTTAGAGTATAACGCACGTTATAAAATTTTACTGAATAATGATTTCTTGTTGTAAAGAATGAACTTTAAACTGAGCTACACATGTAATGTTCAAACTTAAATAAAATGTAATTTTAAGAATATCAATTTCTTTTTCATAGTGGGTCCGCAGTTGGTGTGTTTTTTAAATGAATAATAAATAAAATAAAGAATAAAGAAGGAAAATCCAGAACTGGGCATTTTGTGTCTCATTAAATTCCTGTTCTTTAAGAACTCTTTAATAATTCACGAAATGCGTATTTAAACATTTTTAAACTGAAAGAAAGCCGACACATTTTTTATGAAATGTAAAAAAAAAACCCACACACGTTATTATGCAATAGTTTCCCCTCGTATCACCCCCCCGCCCCCTCTTTCCTCCCCACATCTCTCGTTCCGTCCCCTGCACGTTCAAATCCGCCTCGTGTGACGTCACGACTCACCTGTGGGTGGGTGTAGGATCTGGGATTAGCTGTAGCCGCAGGTAATAGCCAAACATTGGGAGACTCTCGGCAACGCAAGACTGTAAACTTCTTTTCACTGAAAGACAAACGACGCCGATGAGCTGAGCTGTGTTTTCCCCCTCGGACTGCCGGACTCTGTTTTGAGTTTGCAAACTCTGCTGAAGTACACAAACCTAAAAAATCTGTAGGCGGTTTTGTTTTCTCCGTTTGGAGCGTTAGCGTAGTTTTTTTTTTCTCTCTCTCTCTAAGACTTCCGCACTTTGCTCGTTGAACAAGTTGTCTGGGATAAAAGTGTTTCCTCTTATGCGGTAAGTGGGCGATTTGCAAGTAAAATGGAAAAACAGTTGGATGTTGAATGAGCTTTGGTCTCACCTTTTCTCCTCCGCGCGCACTATTAGGCAAGAAAAAAAATCAAGGGTGCGACGAAAGTTATTGTTAAGATAGAAATCAGAGCACTCAGCTTTATTTACACTCTCCGAGCTTCATGTTAGGTTACTTTACTGAAAGCTATGTTTTTCCTGCTCCAGCTTTAAATGCAGCTTAGTTCATTGTGTTTTGGGGGTTTTATGGAGGTTGTACTAATCTGTCCTCTCCTACTCCTCCAGGTCCCAGGCTTTTTGAGCCATGCCTGGCCACAGCACAGGGGCTCCCCGCCACAAGTACCCCAACTCTAGCTCTAGGGCGGACAACCATCGACCCAACCGGACTATATCCAGGGACAGCACAACCAGCCAAGACTCGTACAAGGATCCTCATGGGGAGCAACTACGTGACCACTCCCGCTATTCAGAGGGCAGGTATGGTCGAGGAAGAAGCCACCCTCGAAACAGCACTGGAAGGGGTTCAGAGACAATAGGATTTATTCCGGGGTCAGCAGACAGCGTGCCGAGCAGCAGGCAGTCCTGTGGCTCCTGTGCCTCCATGGGCTGGAGTAGCTGTAAGGCTCTTATCTGTTGTGTTCTCACCTGTGGATTTTATGGCACCCGGGAGCCCTGCCTCCCCGTTAACGAGAGCTCCACAGACCATACCCCCAAAACGGTCGGTGACCCTCGACCTCCTAACGGCATAGCTGTGAAAACCCCTGGCATGTCTTTGGAGCCCAATAATAAGCAGCCCAAGACCCCGAGATTGCCCCTGAATGACAGTTTCCGTTACCCAGATGTGCACATAGCAGGTCAGAAGGTAAAGTACCCAGTTGCTGACCCCAAACGGGGTCGCGCATCAGGTAAAGGGGATAACCAGCGGCCGGTCAGCAACACCAGCCTTCTATCCTACGAGGACTACGACTTGGATGAGCAGAGCGACAAAGACATTGACTCTCTGATCACCAAGAAGCTGCTGGAGCTTTACGCCCTGCATCAGATTGACCAGCTGGCCAAGTGCACCTCTGATTCCTCCTTCTCCCGCAAGACCAACGAGATCAGCGAGCTCATCTACAGCATCGCTCAGGACTACAACCTGGAGGAGCAAGAGGCCGAGTGCAAGCTGGTGCACGGGGTCATCCGCATCAGCACGCGGAAGGGCAAAAGGAACAAGGGCTACCTGTCGACCGGGCAGCATCATAACAGCAGGAGGGACGGGACCCTCCCCGACAGTGGCAACGAGACCATGACAAACACCTTCATGAGCAGTGATTGTAAGAATCTTTTCTTTTTTTTTTTCTTCTTTTTTTGCTAGAGCTGTGTAAATATTTATAATGCACAAGACAACCTTGCTCACCAGCACCTTGCAGCAACATACCAAATATACCAATCATCTGACCCATCTTTTCTTAATGACTCATCGAGTCTGTTGGAACACCGGCTGAAGCTCTTTTGTTTGCCTCGTAGCTGCGAGCTCTAAAACTCCAGGTATTTTACGTGCAGTAGCCTCATAACAATCGCTTAATCTGAGGCAAGTCGATGCAGGTGCGGCGTCTGCTAAACTCAAACACGATAACAGAGATGACCGGATGAATTATAACGTTTGCTGGATCTCTGTTTGTTTTCTCTTGCCTGTGTTCAATTTGTCTTGTCTTTTGTTTTCGCTTTGTTTTTTTTTGCCTTTCGCTACAGTTCCAGAGGTGAAAGTGTCGGAGCAGACGCCATCGGACGAGCTGGCGAGAAAGATGAGAAATTACAGCGGGCGAAGTGAGTGCATGCGCGGGGGTGGTGTGTGTGGGGATTTCCCATGAGTCTGTCTTCTTTTGGTTTCGTGTGGGATTAAGATACTCGGGAGTAAATAAAGTAATTCTGCTTGACTTTGGCAGTCCATCAGGGCATTTAGGTGTAATAACCAGCGCGTGTGTGTGTTTGTGTGTGTGTGACCCATTGTGCCTGCTGCAGCTGTAGGCGTTTTCTCACCTCCTCCTCCTCCACCTTTCAGTCACATCCCACTCTCCTAGCAGTGAAAGCACCGCATTCCTACCCTTTTTCCATTCCCTGCATATTCGTTCACCTAACACCTACCTACCTGCCTGCCCCCCAGCTCCATGGTAATGCTACACCACCTGCTAGATGAGCAGATCAAGTCGCATTAAATATATGTCACACAATGTTCCCAGATCTGCTAAGTAATTTCACCACCTTGGGTTACAGATGGATTACGTAAACTAAGCTCCTCTTTTCTCTCTGTCTCTCTCTCGTTGTTCGGTGAAGAGGTTGGTAAAAGGACGGGTGTCCTGTTACATGTCTGTGAATGAGGGTACGCCACACCGTGTTTTCACAACTTTAACTCGGTGTTCGGGGAACGTGTCCGGGTCCTGGGTTTGTCCAGGTTTTTTCGCTTAAGGATAAATGAAATTAGAGCTATGCTTTGTAACCTCACTGCATTCCTTTTTTTGTCCTTTCTCTTTTTTGCAGCATATTCCTCCAGCACTACTACGGCCTACTCGGCGTACCACCACAACACTGAAACCTACTCCTCAGGCGCTCCTCTGA